TAATCCGAACCCCTCATTGCTGTACTCTATACACAGTACAGCAGTTCTTTATTGTATATACTGTGTTTAATTTACAGTACTGTTTATTCATCATGTTTACTACTGTATTAAATTAACACTGTATTTTACTTTATAAAACATTTGTTCACTTTTACCAAAATAATTTTGATCAATTTAGCCATATTTTAGCTATTGTTATGTAAAAACAACAATATGTTCTGTAATCCAAACTATTCAATAGTCTGAACTACCTCTGGTCCCAATTAGTTCGGATTCAAGAGGTTCTACTGTACAAAATAAAGATATTCACCAAGTTTGATCAAAATTAATCCATAAACAAACAAACTATAACTGTTTTCTTATGTTCTATAAGATTAACATGGGAGTTTTAAGTTTACAATTTTTTCAATTTCCTCGGGAACCAATAAACATAAAAAAACACCTCAATACCTATAGCAAAGTATTTGGTTTTTAAGCTCTTCAAAATCGTGTGGAGAGAAATTAGGAAATTTTACGTTTTGATGGGAAAAATGGGAAAACTAATTTTTATCCCGTAAAACCCCGTTTCTATGGTCCGATCATGCTAGTTCGCTAACTCAATGGAATAAACGCAGGTTTACATGTTTTTTTACCAAATTTGATTGAAATCTGATGAATTTGGCTAGAGCTATCGAGCTAACAGACACACATATATACATATGAATTTGAACGGATGGTGTTTTTGGCCTCTAAGCCATCAAGAACAAAAAGTAAATCGGTCCCCAGGTCCAAGTCTTACCATGAGACTTACGGTAATAGCTTATTCCCTATATGGGAAAATCGCTAAAATGTTTAAAAAAACAAGGAACTTCCTTGTTCAATTCATATCACAAAGGTAAAAGATAAATGTATACAAGATTTAGTCATTTATGTAAGACTATACCGTTGTACACAATTACAACACTTACGTAAATTACTAATGCTTACTTTAAAGACAGGATTCAACAAGTAATTATAACAAACTATAGTAAATGTTACATTACATATTAATTATGTTAGGTGAGCTGTCATAGCTATGGTCTGCATTGAGCTCACAGAAGGGGGCTGCATTGAGTTGAGGGCACAGAATTATATTCCCCAGGGGTTAAGGTGTTAAATGTGTTTAAGTCTTTCCTGTTAAAGTTATAATGTTTTGTAGTTCTCTTCCGTTTCTCTAATTTATTGATTTATTTGTTGAAAGTTAACTTTTATATACATTGTCATTTTAAAAAGCTTCCATGTAACATACTATATTGTAAACCTTAGAATAATGCTAAACAATGTAATAACTGTAAAATGCAATGAATAAAATAAAAATTAAATAAAATAAACATTTGGTTTGCAAGGTTGGCCAAAGTATCAGTTTTAGACGAGACTATGACAAAACATGAGGAAATTTGGCTTGAGATTGTAATGATATGTTATGAGAAATGGCCAATAGTCTCACTGTGAGCACTTACAACAGTATAACAAAAATAAAATTGGAAAAAAAACAAACAGCTAAATCCTGGTATTCTTAAACACGTTGAATCCTTCACAGAGGTTAGCCATTCAAGTCCCTCCTCTTATCTCATGCAGACCAGAAAATTCTTCAGGAATATACGTCTCTTATTGGATATGTGCTCCATACTTTATACAGTAGACTCCCTCTTATCCGGACTCCTCGGGACCAAGGCCAGTCCGGATTACGGGTTTTCCGGTTAAGCCGACGTCCCCAAAAACTCGTTAAAACAGACCGTTTAAGGTGTTATTCGACTTAAATTTAGGAGAGCATTGTATTTAGACATGTAATCACTGGTCTCAAATCTTTCCCACGAGAACAGTCGTTTCAATACCCCCCACTTCCTGCCGATTTAGTCCAGTTAAACCAATGCCCTGATAAAAATTGTCCGGTTAAAGAGATGTAATTACCGTGGAGTGTAGTCCGGTTAAACCGATGTCTGGTTAAAAGGTGTCCGGATAAGAGGGAGTCTACTGTACTCTGCTCCACGTCCACAAAACTTATCATTGCATTCTTATAAGCAAATGTGAAAATGGTGAGAAATTATTAATGTAAGTTTCATTAAAAATTCATTAAATAACAAGGGTATGTTGCTCGGTAGGAGATATAAGTAGGCCTACTATAATAATTTTTAAACTAATTTGGCGGGTACAAATTAATCCTAAAGACATTTAGTAACATAACATTTATTCAGTAAAATACAACTTTATGTTTATACCAGTCATAGGCAGCTATTTAATCACAATATAACTTCTGCTAAACTTGAACACTAAAATAAAACAAATAAGCTCTACAGGGTTCTAAGACAAGCTTTTCACGACTAACAAACATTGGTTATAAAATATTTCTGAGCAAACAATAAACAATAATGGTGGATTTCTGACTAGTTTCCATTTTATTCTTGGTCTTAACTTTCAAAGATGAATATCACTTACAAAACCTAACATTCAATTGAAATATGGCATGTAGTCTTAAGAGTAAAAAATATTTTGATTTCTTATAAAAGCGCTGAAAAATTGGTGTATTAATAATATAAAATCAATAATACAGATAGAAAGTAAAAAAAAAAAACAGGTTCATTCTTGGCAATAAACAATGGACTTCTTCAATCATACTGATTACAGGTTTAAAGATTTTTTGTTGATTAACCCTTTGAGTGCCAACGTCCGGGGAACCGGACGTTTTTAAAACGAGCCAAAAGTGCCGACGTCCGGCTGACCGGACGTTTCGTAATGATCGAACAGTTGTCATAACAACCGAATGGATACTCAGATTCTTTTAACCCATATATTAACATTGAGTCGAAAGTTACTAGATGCGATACATCGATTTTCGTTGGTCGAAATATCGAAAATTCGATTTTTACGAAATTTTAACCTAAAAATCGCCAGATCGCGCTCGGCATTTTTAGCGCGACCTTCGGGAAAAATCATCGGCATTTTTTGAGCGTTACTTTTATTTCTCACCTGGCACTCTAAGGGTTAAAAATAGTTTAAAAATATAAACAAAATCAGAAAGAAATTTTGAGGTTTCACAAAAATATTTTTTTGTACCGGTAATATGAAGTAACAATATAAAAACCCTAAACCCTCGATACTATCACAATTTAACAAGCTCAATAGGACATTAATAACTTTCATTTAAAATGTAACAAGACTTTTTTTTACCCATTATAAGTTTCACAACAACTTTAACATTGTTCTGTTTTGTTCATTAAACTGTTGTCTATTATTGAAAATTATCATATTTTTCTTATAATAAACTTATTCTCTGTTATGTCTTGGTCTTGTTATGTAAAAAACATCCTGATTTTAGTTTTGGATTTTGACCTTTTAGATTAGGCTACAGGAATTTGGTTTATCGGGAATCCATTGTATTACATTTTCTAATATCCATTAAATACTAAATTGGCTATATATAGATTTTCACACTATCATTTTTAAAAGTCTATCAAAATTACCAACAAAAATTATTTGAATTGGTAATTAAATTTAAATCCATGTGTGTAGTTTTGTGTTTGGTAATTAAAACTGGACCTGATGGTAAAGACCCATCTGTTGTTAGGTTTGTACTACAATATTATTATCTGTCCAATGATTATGACGAAAATAATTAAAGGACATTAAAACATAAATCAGAGCCTATCTGTAGTAAATTGAAACCAAGTTATTATGTAAAAAATCAATATAACATACAATTACTGTAAGTAATCCTACACTCATCCTTCACTCATATTTGGGTTAAAATACGCACATAGTGGCGTCCCCATCTTAAATAATTGAATTGAATTGAATTGAATTGAATTTATCGGGAATCCATTGTATTACATTTTCTAATATCCATAAAATACTAAATTGGCCTTTATATAGACTTTTACACTGTCATTTTTAAAAGTCTATCAAAATTACCAACAATAGTTATTTGTGCAACTAGTGAGAAAAGTGAGCAATTGACTCACTCGAGAGATATCCTTACTCACGAGCGGTAGGCGAGTGAGGAATGGTTTCTCGAGTGAGGCAATTGTACTTTGAACTCGAGTTGCACATTATATTTTTCCTACAGTTACCATAAAACAAATAAATTGGTGAAGAAACATAACCTATTTTTACACAGAAGTGAACTTTTAATATAACATTTAATGTGAAGTGACGAATACAACAGTACAACAGCTGACCAGCTGATTTACAGCCAGTGCTACCAACGTATTTCGCGCGCATACGACGTTGCCTGCATGTTACGCGCACACTATTTCGTGCCTTCACGTTGCAAATCTGGAGTGAGACAAAGTAATTAGAGTGAGACAATGTTAACATTGTCTCACTGATGAGCCAATTGGCCACTTTGCTTTCTCAAATCAGTGAGAGAACATGCACATTGTTAGGTAACTGTAGGAAAAAAATATTTGAATTGGTAATTAAAACTGGACCTGATGGTAAAGACCCATCTGTTGTTAGGTTTGTACTACAATATTATTATCTGTCCAATGATTATGACGAAAATAATTAAAGGACATTAAAACATAAATCAGAGCCTATCTGTAGTAAATTGAAACCAAGTTATTATGTAAAAAATCAATATAACATACAATTACCGTACTGTAATTGGAAAAAAAGGATGACAAATTATATGGTAATCTCAAATATAATGTCATACAGATCGGATAGTAGTTGTTTCCAATCTTAAGAAACAAAACTGATTGGTTTGCCTTAAGTTTAGCTTAAAATAAGTAATATTTAAAACATATGTCAGCCATACAGTATCCATTCAAAATTGCCATATTTAATTGATATTCTCTGTACTGATATCTAAATACTATTATTATAAAATAAAAATACATTAAATGATTATGTTTTAATTCTATGTAGTAAATAGTACTGAGTGTAAGGAGCTATTATTAATTTAATAATTTAATTTTATAAAGAAAAGAGTATTTTTAAGTTAATTATATGAAACCATAATTCAGTCATATATTAACACTAATAAGCTCTAAATGCATTCTAAATCTAAATCAAGGATTTAAATCTGGAAGTTAATTAATTAAGTGTTATTGTCAAGTTCTAAAAAAGCGATCACACAAAAATCTTCAAAAATATGCTACATACTAACACTAGAACACTTTTGATAGTAATGATATAGCCTAACCATATGATAAACAGCTGATAAATAATTTTGTCTAGATAAACATGGAAGATACATATGATTCTAGCGATTAAAAATAATTCTTTGATATAAACTCTCAAGTGTTCAATATAACAGTACTAAAACGGATGTATAGACGTAAATATATATATTACAATAAACAATTAAAACCTTAAATGGTAAACATGCATAGATCCATAAATTTGACAACAACCTTTCTAAAATGGAGGAATTCAGCATTAAAATCTATAAAAATATAACTCTCTATAGCGCATTAAATGTAAAGTACGGTAGTTAGTAAAATATAGTTTCATCAACATTTGTTGAACTCAAACAACCATCGCCACTAGAGTTTTTCTTTTGGGTGATACCGCCGATACCGGTAAAGAATATTTTTAACTATAGCAAAACAAAATTCTATTTAAGTGTGAATATGGTCTTCTAAATATAAACATGCTAAAACCTAAATTAAATTTAAAACAAAAAAAAATAACCATGCCAAATTTACATGTACAGATAATACTCTCTCATTGTAACTAATATTTTCAATACTTGCCCTCTTGTATTAATCACTAAACAAATCACAACTTCATTCTTGGAAAAGCCTCAAAAATAAAACTCTTATAAGCAAATAAGATATACCTTGCATCAAACTCAATTCTCATATTATCACAAGTAAAAAACCCGATACATTTTTTTATATGCATATGTAACAATTTACACAAATAGTGTTTTTGGCCTCTTAGGACATCCATATGAAAAAGTAAATTGAATTGAAGACAATTGATAAATAATCGTTTGGAGTAAGGTCTAAAGGTAGTGCATACTGAAATGTATTTTTTTAATTGAAACCACATAGATTACTAAATAAGGGTTCAAGTATAATTAGTCGCTTTAGTTTTGCACAGTTTAAAACCATGTGTATGTATATTAAAGAAATTTATGTCTTTTAGCAGCACGCTTATTTTGTGAAGCTCGCTGTTAATAGGAAGACACGATCACCGTCATTTTACACACTTGTTCTAACAATTCAGATGACGTTACAAAAATAACATGCTATACCCAGTCATATATTCCTAAAACAATATTATTTTGTGAGCTAGGAAGACACTAAACTGATAGTTATTTCATTTCCTCCTTGAAACAGTTCAGAGTTTGTATATAAACTAGTGTACATGTTGCTCGAAATATAGCAAAGGTAAAGTATTACAGGAGTTGCTTGAAAACAAATGACAACCATAATTTCCGATGAGTTTAAAAGAATCAACTCAAATTACTCAATGATTATTTAAGTAATGGAAATACTGACGAAGTTTCTAACAGGTTAATGGAATCAAAATTTCTTGTAAATATCTTATCATTTTTCAAAAGCTGATCTTGTTTTTAGTGTTTCCCAAAAATTGTTCCCACTTACAGCCGCATTAGGTTGTCCATGTTTATCTTCTAGATAGTTTAAACATTGACTGTTTACAATTAACATTCTCATCTTCTCACTTTTAATTTCTGACAACAGCTGGAGTTTAATAACAATATAGCACTTTAAAGGGCCCCAGGGCCTCACTCTGTAATTATTTCCTTAAAGATAAAGTTTCCTGCACAACTGCACGTTACACTCTTTCCAATGACACCAAAAACATGTCAATCGGTTCAGGAGTTTCGGAGGAGTAATTGTCACAAAAAACCTGCTTGCGTATTACATAAGTATAGATAATAGGGTATTCTCGTTAATCTACAACCAAAAACACTTCAGTAATAGTATTATTTATCCCATTACGTTGAAAACACCCACCTCCATTGTGTATCTACAGTCAATAATAGCTGCAACAACATGGATTTGATTGGTTGTGGTCCTTAACAATGTCACTGGACTAATCGAAAACAAAGTCACCTTATGATCAATCGTTGGAGAGCTCATACTGATAAACTTCCGCTTATAATAACATTATTCAATATACATGTAATGCAAACTGCTGCAATTGATCCAACACTGCAAGCATGTATCAAACTTGACTTGCTAAACAAAGGTATCAAACCCAACAGGAAGAATAAAATAAAACCCTCAAACCTTATAGCGAGAATATCAGAATTGAGCTGATGCTACCTTACAGATACTGAGCAAGAACACTTTCGGTGAGATCACTAGACGAAGTAGGAGATGTACTCGTGCGGCATGACGCCGCGGCGAGGGTAGAACGTGTGGTTGACCGAGTACTGCAGTAGGTTGGTAATATGGGAGGTGTAGATGTCAGCGAACCTGAACAGCCGACGCGAGAAATACGTGGGGTTGTGGTAGGTGCGGAACACACTGCCAAACTGCTTGTTAAACACACACTTCATTGACTGCCTGTGAGTGACATACAGTGCAAATAATGAACAATGGTTTCAAAGATTAAATCAAGAAGCATTTTTTTAGGGTACTACTCTACATGAGAGAGAAAGAATTACCAATAAGTAAGGAAAAGAGGAAGTAATGGTGGTTGGAAGAGATGGAAAGTTGGAACAACCTTTAAAGTAGAGGGGGAACAGCTTAAGTTAGTTGAAAAATTTACATATTTGGGCACAGTTTTATCAAACAATGTGAGAACAGTACAAGAGGTTACTCAAAGTGTTTATCATCTAGTCTAGGATAAAGATATACCAAAGACTGCAAAAGTTACCATGTATAAAACTTTTTTATACCGATAGTTACCTATGGTGCAGAAGTTTGGATTATAACAGAGAGGAAATGGAGTTTCAGTGTAATGAATGAGTGTAAATCCCCACATGAACGGAAGAAAACCAAGAGGTAGACCTACTATTGTCGGATTGTTGAGGTGAGAGGAGTGCAGTGACAGTATGTGGAGGAAGAGGAATTGTGAAGGGGCAGAAGAAGATGGAGATACCTAGTAAACACCCAGACCCGGAGATAACCGGAACGGGAGAGGATGTATGTACTACCCTACAACAGAATTTTAAATTATTAATACTTTCAATCCGTATCTCATAACTGACTCTTACTCTTCAGCAAAACAGAAAAGCATGTTGTTTATATGATTAATTGAGGTCTGCAGGTATCCTGGTAATCAAGACAGGAGAAGACCAAATTCATTCCCAACCTTATTTATCCACAAAGGTAGAGGTCAGGAAATTATGGAAGTGAATGATTTCTCCCCGATCGAGGAAGGTGTACACAATCTTTCCGCAATGATGGGAGAGGATCATGATGTCTTCGTGAATGCCGAAGGTGTTCACAGTTTTACAACGAGAAGTAATTATATTTAGTCTAATATTGTAATGGTGAAAATATTATGAGATAAAGAAAGCAATATGATTTCAAATGGCCCGCGCTGTCAATAATTCTCCGAGCGGCCACGCACTGCGCTAAACAAGCAGCTAGGCACATCTCTCTGGTGGATGGAGTGTAAAAAAGCTTGACGTTAGGCGAGGGCGAAATAGCCCGTAGACTTGTATAGATCGTGGGATGTTAGGCAATGGACGGAATAGCCCAAGAATCAAACTCAGGGTGGAATAACCCTGGGTAAAAGAGTAAGTTCTAACACTAGGTGTTAGGCCGGGGCCTAAGGGCACCTGGACTCGTACAAGTCGCGAAACGTTAGAACAGGGCGGAACAGTCCCTGGAAGTCAAAATTATAGTTTATTTTTACTTTCATTATCTTAAGTTATAAATATTAAAGTTTTTTATTTAATTCTAAAAGGTGAAATACTGTTTAACCAATAAGTGAAGATTTTTAGTTTTATTTTTCCGATGTTCATAATTTTAGTTTTTTATCAGTGTTTCACTCTAAGAATTAAACCCAACCATTATAAATTTGTTCTTTTGTTTACCATTATTTAAATGGGCTATGATGAATGTGTCATTAAACAGCTGATGCTATTTACCGACAACATTTGAGCCACATATATTTACTTTCAAGTAGCTATGACACTACTGACTCACCTGAGTTGGTCTCTCTCCATTTCCCACTGGTGATTCGCTTCCACTGCCCTGGGATCCCCAGAGTCCTGCCAGTCTTCTATCAGCTGTGTCAGCATCTGCAGCCAGTTGCACGTCCTCTTGAAGTGTTCATCGTTTAAGGTTTCTATCTCGTGCTGTGAAAATAATTATTGTCTAAGACATTCAGTAAAGTAGAAGACCCTAATTCATACCTGTAGGAGGATACCTCCCTGTGATATCCTGACCATGTTCAAGCATCATGCTGCCATTCACCTACAGGCCATGAAAAACTCAACATGATTCACCACATCACAGTTTTTTCTTTTATTTAAAATAGGCAGGTGTTTAATTTGTTTTCTAATTTCATTTGAAGAATGCGAGATAGTTGCTAAAAACAGTCATCTAACTTTAGACGAGGTTGAGGAATCACTAGACAAATCAAGGTACAATAACCTTTTTGAGCGGAGCGAGCGAAGCTCTTATACGTCGACTTTTATGCATTTCGTAATACGCAAACTCCTCCTAGACGGCTGAATCAATCGTTTTCAAATTTTGCATGGTGATAAAGACCATATCGGTGAGTGCCAACATCTATATGGCGTTAAAAAAGTCTCTCAGGAATCCGCCCCACTGGGTCTCAAAGTTTCAATGTAATCCTTATGGCAGCAGTATTTGACACATAAACAAAGACATATGATCAGCTGTTGACTTTTAAATGCAGTAGATAAATAAATAGCTGATAGCATTATTCCACAGATATTAGAACATAAACGGTGGTATGGATCATAAATATAATCAAATGACGACACTAGCTTGAGGTCCATGACGTAGGAAGTGGTGAAGGAAGTAGTAAATGGTAGCAGTCTAGAGTGTGGAAACTGTTTAAGACAATTAGATTTGGGTACCAGTAGGTATCTGCATTCCTAACATTCTATGGGAAGGGAGGAAAATGGGTCCGTGACGTAGGAAGTGGTGAAGGAATTAATCTAGGCGAGCTGCCCGGAGTGTGGGAACTGTTTATGACGATTAGATTAAGGTATCTGCATTCCTAAAATTCTATGGGAAGGGAGGAAAACGGGTCCGCGACGTAGGAAGTGGTGAAGGAAGTAGTCAAGGCGAGCTGTCCGGAGTGTGGGAACTGTTTATGACAATTAGACTAAGGTATCTGCAGTCCTAAAATGCTATTGGAAGGGAAGGAAACAGGTCCGCGACGTAGGAAGAGGTGAAGGAAGTAGTAAAGGTGAGCTGTTCGGGGTATGGGATCTGTTTATGACCATTAGATTAAGGTATTTGCAATCCTAAAATGCTATGGGAAGGGAGGAAAACAGGTCCGCGACGTAGGAAGTGGTGAAGGAAATAGTCAAGGCGAGCTGTCCGGAGTGTGGAAACTGTTTATGACTATTGGATTAAAGTATCTACAATCCTAAAATGCTATGGGACGGGGGGGGAAACAGGTCCGCGATGTACGAAGTGGCGAAGAAAGTAGTCAAGGCAAGCTGTCCGGAGTGTGGGATCTGTTTATGACCAATATATTAAGGTATTTGCATTCCAATAATGCTAAGGGAAGGGAGGTAAACAGGTCCGTGAAGTAGGAAGTGATGAAGGAAGCAGTAAAGGCGAGTTTTCGGAGTGTGGGAACTGTTTATGACGATTAGATTAAGGAATCTTGGTATCTACAATCTTAAAATTCTATGGGAAGAGAGAAAATCAGGTCTGCGATTTAAGAAGAGGTGAAGGAAGTAGTTAGGTGAGCAGTGTGGAGTTTGGGAACTGGAAACTGTTTGTATCAGTTAGATTAATGTATCTGCAATGCTGAAATGCTATGAGAAGGGATGGAAGCATGCCCAAGACATAGAGAATGGTGAAAGAGGTAGTAAATGCTAGCAGTGCGGAGTGTGGGCAATGTTTGTGGCAATTCGATTTACGTATCTAAAATACTAAAATGCTATGGAAAGTGATGAAAACAGGTCCACGATGTAGGAAGTGGCTTAGGAAGTAGTAAAGTATGAACATATTGTGAGAACCGTCTGTGGCAGTTAGATTAATGTATCTTCAATCCTAAAATGCTATGAGAAGGGAAGGAAACAGGCCCCACGACGTAGGAAGTGGTGAAGGAAGTAGTAAAGGCAGGCAGTGCAGAGTGAGGGAACCGTTTGGGCAGTTAGATAAATGTATCTAATACTTAAATGCTATCAGAAAGGAAGGAATCAGGTCTATGATGTAGGAAATGGTGAAGGTAGTAGTAAGGCTTGCAGTGCAGAGTGTGGGAACTGTCTTTGGCAAATACATTAATGTATCTGCAATACTAAAATGCTATGGGAAGAGAGGAAAACAGGTCCACGACGTAGGGGGTGGTGAAGGAAGTAGTTAAGGTGGGCAGTGTTGAGTGTGGGAATGGATTAATGTATCTGCAATGCTAAAATTCTATGGGAAGAGACTGTAGACTGTGGGTTAAAATTATTATGAAGCACGAATCGTTACATATTTCGATAAGTATTCAATCTTTTACAATATAAATTTACAACTGAGTTGACAACAGCTGAGTTTTACTCCGTAGAAGCTAAAAACGAATTTTATTCCCTAAAGAGTAAAAATGCTACTTTAGACCCTCAACGCATGCATCAATGACGACTGTTTTTACTGCAGTATGACAAAAACAATATAATATGAACCCTTGATGACTCCGCTCAATTTTGTGGATGCCTCTGCGAACGCCACCTAGTAATATATTACAGTATTTTAGATACTAGTGTACTAACATTTTTGCTCCTCTTATTATTAGGATACTAGTAATGATGTGTTCAACTACTACAGTAAACAATACTGTGTTACAAATTTATGTTGTTTTGAGTAACTCCAAGTTTACTTTCTATGGTTTCTTCAGTATAAAACCTGTCAGCTCACTACAAATATGTTGCATGAAAATGTTGCAGTAGTCCGAGCTGAGCCTGGCCTACAAGCGTGAGGGACCAAGCACCAAGAAAAACAAGCTCGAGCCAAGCTTTAATGTCCCCGATTGCTGAATGCGTCCGCAATGATCGCACAATAAAAAAATTTACACTTAAGACAAGATTGAAAAAGACAATGATTATGTCTTCATAACTGTTGGAGATGTTAAGGATTTCGCCACAATCTTAGAAGACAATTATAATGTCTACACGACAGCGGAATAAATTTTATGTTTTTTTTAATGAAAGCTGATGCTATTTACCACCAATATTTGAGCTACAAATCTATTATCCTACTAATATTATAAATGAGAAAGTTTGGATGTAAATGTTTGTGACAAGTAAACATGAAAATAACTGGTCGGATTGGGCTGAAATTTGGGGTGACGATAGCTCACATTCCCAATTAACATACAGGCATATTGTTATCTCAAAACTCCTTTCAGGCTCCGCCCCAGTAGCTTTGGAGTTTCCCATGTTAACCTTACACTACGACGCGGCACGGGTAGTTGCGTGGTCATGACTCAACGATGCCACCACGTTGTTTGAGTGTCCTGTGCTAGCCAGTAGCAATATTAATGTAAGACTAGATTACTTACGTCAATAGCTCATTGAATTTCATTTCATGTTTCAGTACATGTTTCGACACATTGTCATCCTCAGCTGAGTACTAGTGAAGTTTTTATTCACCATATGGTTTTGTCAATGTTCAATTAAATAAACACGTAACACGTAACACAAATAATACGACACGACACGGAACATATACATTTACAACACGCAAAGCTTTAGACATGCAGGCCTGCTCGAACAAAACACACGGTCACGCCGCGGGTCGGGGACAGACTAATTGTGTTACGTGTTACGTGTTTATTTAATTGAACATTGACGAAACCATATGGTGAATAAACACTTCACTAGTACTCAGCTGAGGATGAAAATGTGTCGAAAAATGTTCTGAAACATGAAGTGAAATTCAATGAGCTATTGACGTAAGTAATCTAGTCTTACAATAATATCACAGCTCAGGGGCTTAACAATGAATTTAAGCAATGTTAATCCGTATTTTCGTGTTTCGTGTTGTATGTGTGTGTTTTTGTGTTTACCGACGACCTCAATTTGAGTGACATGACATTTTTTTACAGCCTGATGATGGGATTTTAATCCTGAAACCGGTCGCCTAAGACGACAACAATAGGATCACTGACGGACAGGTAATATAAACCATTTTATTCATTAAGTGATCCTGGGCCACTAAGCATAATGAAATCAATATGAAGCAATTGATGCTATTGCTACACTAAGGTATGTTGTCATATTCTTATGGATCTATTAACATCATAAGTAGGGGTTTGAAAGTAAGTAGGTTTACGCTTTTAAATCAGTTTATATTTTCAAACTAAATCATAGAGTTGCTGAATTTTAAAACACACATCAGCATCACTTTAATAGCTCTCTAGGTCACATTTTCTTCCCATTGCAAAGCACGGGTATAGCAGCTTGTTATTATTTATTTGTGTTCTTAGTACTAACCCTCTAACTTGTAGAAAACCATGCTTTTTTAAAGGTGACACTTTTCCTAAACCTAATTCTTGTTGCATCCTTTTATTTTAAAAAGAATTATGTTCAACAATATCAATACTTCAGAACGTTAAACGTTGCATTGCATTATTTGGAAGTTGGCCTATGTAAAAAATTAACTTGTCATATGGCATTACACAAAATTCATAGGTAGTATTTAAAAAAAACTCGGCTAAATTGAAAACCTTAGGCTTGTACACCTCTACTAAACAAGCTTAATAAGCATATTTGGTAGAGTTTGCAGGCAGTTATACTACGTTCAAAAAACTTAGGTGGTTTTAGGGGAAGATATCTATCCCCTCCACATCTTGATCCCACCATTAAAACATAGCTCAACAGCTGAGATTTGTCAAAACCTCAATCAGCTGCAACATATATTAAGCAGGAAAAAGTGGTGGGTGTAATTCCCATGAAACAGCCTAAATATTGGGAAAGTACTATAAATGAGGTTGGGTATACTAAAATAGACAATCTCTATTTTTGCAATCTTTCTAAAATACCGGTACTTACAAAACAGCAATTTTTAAGTTAACGCACAGTAATCAATCATTTCGGAAGTCTCAAACTTGTTGTAGTAAGTCATCCAGCTTATTCTAGCTTAGTAAGTCATCACTTTACTCTAACTCACCACAAGTTCGTTGATGATTGCCCCAGTGCGCCAGCCATGCTCCAGCGTAACATCCGCTAAGTCACTGTATGGATGATCTCCAAAGTACAACACTTCACTGCCGTACCAACCTGTCATATCCTTCAACTGGTTGATGGTGCCCTGCAGACAAAATGTTTCAGTTAAAACCTTAGAATTGGATTTGTTAAGTTTGTAAGTCAGTAGAGACTTGATTATCTGACCTATAGCAAATTGGCGAGGCCTTAATTTTGTGGTTCACTCAGGAGAGTTAAAAAGATAAGAAGTAGCCATTGGAGTACCTTTCATGCAAGAAAAAGCGCCAAAACTGAACATACTTATGATTTTAGAGACCCACCATTCTCAGCTAGCTATTGCTTTTTGGATAGCTGGAGGAAAAGACATGTAATAAGATAGCTCACGATTACGTCAAAGAACTTCCAAGACATTATTTTTTCCCAAAACTACTCACCGCAGCAAATTTAAAACATGGATGAAACAGGATTAAATTTTAAGACATTTCCTTCCTACTAAAAGTCTCGCTTCACAAGAGGAAAAATCTGCCCCTGGGTTTAAAATGGACAATCAACACTTAACCCTTCATCGGTGTCTTTGATTTTAAAATACAATCGGTGACACACAGAGATTTTATCTGGGTGTTGAAACATTAGACAAAAAAATGTTTTTTATACGTATAATAATATAAAAACGTATTTTACCATGTATAATCAATACAATTGTACTTGAAATCAACAAAAACTCTTACTCTACATATTTATACAAATATATAGCAAACAAAAACAACAACACCATTCGTGACTCACTGAGCCAAAGATCGTTTAACAGTGCATAGAGTCTTGTTGCACGTTGAGCGTTTTCCCCACTACCTGCTGCCTCATGGTACAGTCATATTTAAAAAATGCTCTTAAGGCCTACACATTAGGACACCCGGTCGCTTATCAGCATGGTTCTGGTTGACGAGCAACTAAGTTGATGATTGAACGAATTGGATGCTGGGGGCAACAGACTTCGCTACCTAGCACTTTCAATCAAGCAAGAAATAAATCAAAATTTGGTGGGGATAGATAATGTGTTTGGTTCTGGTTAGAGCTTAAGTGACGACACCATGCCCGCCGACGAATTTTTCGAAGATTTTGGGCTAAAGGGTGGCTTCAATGTAGAAATAGTTACAGCCACATGGCACTCCTACGAGCCTTGTGACTTGAAAATCCTCAGGATTTTAAAAACTATTTACGGATGTCATATGACAGTTTCCGTCACTCTTTGCAGCTAGTGACGCCCAATATACCTGGCCAAAGACTAAGGAACCAATTAACCTCACATAGAAAAAAGGACGCCAGATTGAGATTTTAGCATGGTTTTGTTTTGTCAGTTCATTTTTCGCATGCACAAGCCGTCTTTAGTTGATCAACTTAGTCGCTGAACCCTACACACTCTAGTTTTTAGAGAAGTCTCGTTGCCTGGCGATAAATTGGTTGATCGGAAACCAACAGGTTTTCAGTTTACAGCACCAAAAACCAAAATGATCCCCACACACATGGCGATATTTGTGCAATTTGGTCACTCATCAACCAGATTGCCGGTTGATAAGCGACCGGGTGTTCTCGTGTGTAGCGGCCTTTATACCGCTTGCTGCCGCATGTCTCTCGTGCAGCTAGTGATATTGTAGTGGCCTGAGAAATGATATTGTGTTTGTTAGTGTTCCTGTACGTTTGTAATTGATTGTAGGTGAATTTGTCAGTTTATTAACAGTATGAACTGAAAGGGAAAGTGCTAAGGCTCCAGACATGTGAGATAATTGCTAACGTTATAATTTATATGGAATTGGAGGCTAGGGAATCAAGGTTTACAATTGATCCCGTAAAGGTTAGAAACAGGGTGTTGGCTGCTTGTGGAGTTTCAAAATAAACTTTAACACGACTAAGTGTGGGGAAGAAAATTTTGGAAGAAAAAAACCCTAGTTATCAATTAAAACAAAAAACAAACACAAGACCCCATACACACACTTGCGCAGTTTTTCACCACACCCAGGCTTATACAAAATACATTGAGAAGTCCCAAGCTTTTACACTAAGAAGACAAAAAAATACAGACTGTTTTAACCCTAGAAAATATGGTGTTTAATCATTTCCCTGTTAATTCACACTGAAAATTAGCCATGGATGGGTTAGAGTGTTCATATTCACCAATTGACTAAACATTGTGAGTACTGGACCCTAAATCTACAGGGAAAGCTGTTTAAATTAGTAATCTGGCTAAATAGGCTGGCAGATGGTTACTTTTTTATGAGGAATAAATAATCCAAAAATAAATGGATACATCAAAACACACTCACCTCAAAGTATATGACTCCCTTCTTTAGTTCAGTAACCTTGTCCCAAAGATAAGAGTCGTTCTCTTTGTCGTAGATGCGAAGAGGTCTTGACTCATCAGTGAAGAACAACGGTTTACGAGCCTGGACGATGATAACATCGAAGAAGTCTTCCCAGTTGTCTCCTACCATCCAAGACATGCCCTTGTTCCTAGAAACAAGATTAGAAAAAAATTCCACACAAAATAAAATTAACTAAAACTGACTGGTTAGCTTAGTGGTTGTAAGATTTGCTTTCTAATTAGAGGGTTCAATAGATAATTCTGCAACTTTTGATAGGTTAAAACTTGACCCTACTATCATTGATAATGTTGAAAAAAATCAGCAGATCTTAGCCAGTAACACAAAACTAAACTTGGAATCTCACCCCATTCTACTCACGCTCACTCTTATATAACTTAGGTCCCCCAGGATAAAAATCTCGTCCATGAAGTGAAACCAACACAACATTTTGGGATTGTAGGAAACATTTTTCAAGTTTCTCCATAAACAGATTAGCGTAGGAAGAGGCCATCATTTGCAGTGCCTTTAGTTTGTAAATAACCTGCAACCTTTTGTCAGGGAATTTCAATTCAACCACCGACCATTTCTTAGAACCGCTGACAACCATACAAACACCTCTTCCTCCTGCAACGATTCTGGCTACAATAGATGTAACCTCCCTGTACACTAACATCCCCATTACACATGGACTTGCTGCAAAATAATTTTCCTAGACCAGCGCCCCAAAAAAACCCTAAGCCCTCAACTTCTTTCCTACTCAACATGGCTAAGTTCATTCTAGGAAAAAAGTGTTCAATTTAAAAGAAGAGAGGAAGGATGGGCCCAATCAATTGAACAAACATTTGTCAAATTATAATACTGATACGGTTGTGTGGCGTAGCCCACGTTAATAATTTGGACAATTTTTTAAAATGTTTTTGTGTTCATGTAAGTATTATGTGTATCTAACGATTCTTCTCAACCCAATCAGTGATGAAGAGGAATTTCTTAACTTGGTGACTGTTTAAAGATGAACCTTAAGGTTCGAAACCTTGGTCGCGGACCTAAAGCTGGACCACTGATGGTACTACAGGTATTTAACCTTTTATTTGTAAAAAAATGTGATCCAGAGGCTAAACATGCTTGTATTTAAACCAGTGACCTGATTTAAAGGCGAGCACTATAACCACTCGGCTACCCTGGCAATTACAACAACTAGCTGTTGGTGTTTTGTTTCTGTCTACATATATAGTACAAAAATGCACCTTTTTTAAATTAGTATTTCTCTCTTAACTTAAAACCTAGACATATTCCTACAATTAGTAGTGTAGGCCTACTCTAAGAATTCTAAATCCAAATTAATCTTTGATGTTTGCATATCTGAATCTTTGACTACCTGAACCACCTAATGTTTTTGCACAATCCAAACTACTACCTTAATTGAAAAACTCTCTTGTTCTCTCCATATCAGCACTCTTTGCCTCAACTAAGTAGGCTACATCCTAATCCTAATTATGTACTATCAAATCAGTGATGAACTTTTTACAGACAAGTTAGACAAAAGTCATACATGTGGCAAAAAAAAAGTGTTTGACGAGAGACAACTAACTGTCTTAGTTATTTTTTTTTTTTTTTGGTCCTAGGACGTTAGGCTTAGCCCGGGATTTTTTCATATTACCTAGGGGTTGCGGCATTATCACTTATATAAAATCAATTGGTGATTTGGCAGGAAAGATTTTAACCCTGGACCCCAGTGACCAAAGTCCCGCGTTCTACCATTAGACCAGCTCACTCCCCCAACTGTTCTAATCTGTTAAGTATTGATATTCAGTAACTTACTTCCAAATATACAACAGAAGTAACAAAATCAAAAAAACAAAAACCAAACAACTTACACAAATTTGTAAGGGCTGTTGGTGACAAGAAATAGCTTTTTACCAGCATCCGCTAGCCTCTGGAAGAAGTAGGTGATTCCTGGGTTTTTCTCTATGTATTGAGAGACATCTTCTTGTAACAGTTTGTGCATGACTGGGTGAGATGATCCAACAGAGTTCTGAAACAAAGTAGATTTTTGGAGTTGGAGCTCCTTTTACATATGAGGCAAAATCATCAAATATGACTGTATATACATTCTTGGTTGCAGAGTATCATTTTATGGGAAAGCTAGGAAAGGTAACTTTTTGTTTTACAGATTTTCCTAGTTTTTTCCTTTGATTCCAAGCTGCTTGGATAAGTAGCACTAATTAACATTTTGGATTGTAGATTTTCAAAAATCTGTTTCCTCACACCAATTATTATTACAATTTTAACAAAACCTAACAACTTTCAACCACTTGAAAGTTAACTTCTATGCTTCTTGTTTTCTTTAAATAACAGCCATTGATTTAGAGATTTAAAAATGCATGCATAAAACGATTATAGACGATTTTCAATAGGTAAGAATTCCTATGGTGGCACACAAAATGAATCCTTACACCACAACATAGACTGTCATTAAATATGTAGGTGTTTTAGAGTGTTTTCAAAACATCATATTTTTTAGGTATTTGTGTGCAGGAACTGTCCAAACCTAAACATAGAAATTCTATTTTGCTAAATAGTATCATTAATTAAAAGCCTAGTGACAAATGTCATCTAAAATGTACCACACTAGGGATCGAACCAGCTACCTTCATATTTGAAGGTAAACATAGTAGTGAAACTAAGTATTTTGTTTAGTTCCTATTGTACCCCCAGTAGGGATGGGCGTTATATAACGTATTAGTCAAAATAACAGGGTTATGAACAAATAACTGTTATCGTGGTATTAGGTTACTGCTAGAACCCGTTATTTGAACAACGGTTTCAATAAATATGCCAACACCAGCTGCTACCTTGCTGCTGTCCCAGTCTATAAGACTCCAGGACCGTTAAACTCTCAGTAACTGTATAACATCACTGTTAATAATCCAATTAATTGAACAAAATCAAAGGTTAAATCAGTCATCTACTGTTATAATACAAGAGTGGGTAGCAATGTTTAAGCATCACAGATAATGTATTAATTAAGCTATAATCACTAAATCCCCGGTAGTAAATGACCCAGTTTCATCCTATGAAGTGATGAATTGCCAATCCCAACACTTGATTGCTAAGGTCAGGCTTATCAGACAACCGTTGTTAAGAGGTGATTCACCAATTGACTCCCGTGTCGACACAACAGCTCCACTGTTGTCCAATCATCTTGCTGCACTGATACTGATATGCACTAACATGTGCTTGGAGCATTTTCTCACCGACGGCACATTTTCTACCTTCTATAGGCCTAATATTTATGACTGTGTAATGAACATTCTGAAAATCGTAAGGAGTTATGGTGTATAACATTATTTTACAGTAGAATTTTAACTTTATGTAAATATTTTGATCTTATGAAAATAAACTGAACACCTTTAGGGGTAATCACAAATGCAGAGAAATGTTGGATGATGACAGTGCATTTTCTCTGAGAACCTTTGACGTATTTTCAATTCTTCCCAGTTTGAAAGTTGTTTTAATTTATCAAAAAACAATGAGAAGCAAACAAGGGTAGGCTACTTTGGTATTTTACCGGCCTCACCTAATTCTAACCTAACCTAACCTAATGGTGGACTATGTTTTAGATTAGGTTAGGTTAGTTTAGGTAAGGAAGATTTTGTTATTTTAACTAATAAAAATCTTATTTGGAAGTCTATTTATAGGTGTGGTCGATATAATAAATGTAGGCTAGTAATGTCAAGGTGTTAAACACTGACAAAATAACATTTATATAGTTCTAGACACACTTTAGAGAGTTCTCTACCATCAATCTTTAGACCTTATGAAATTCGACCAACACAAAAAAAAAAACAACTGACAAACAGAACAGTAGGCTACAAACACTTGGTTTATGTTCAATAATTGCACACCTTGATAACGAAGGACATACCTTGACATCACGGAACAGAATCTCAGGATGAAAGTCGATGCCATTCTGGATGAAGTACTCAGTGATGTTGCACAGAAGACACATCTCTGGCACACTGAACATGTCTGCCAACTGTACCATCTTGGATGTTACGTACTGCAACAGAGATTGTTGAGTCAGCTTCGGATATGAAAAAAGATATAACTTAAGAATAAATATTTTTTGAGTGACTTTTTGTCAGAGGTTTGTGAGCCCGAGATTTTTTATCGAGCCCCTGGGCCAAAATTATAAAAAAGTTCACACAAGCATTAAAAAGGTGTAAATCTTTTCAAAAAACAAGATTTTCTTAGATTAGTTATGTCATGGACTAAGAATACAAATTTAAACATATACCAATAATAAATAACTGAACTAATTAATACACAATAGCATCAATAATTTGGCGACATGCGTGATCATCTTTCCATAACACTTGACACTGAGATCACATCCTTTGTGATCAAGACAACATCATGATAATCTCCTGCAAGCACGGTAACACTTACATGGTTTGTCTCTTACACTTGCAACAACATCTATGTATCCATGATCATCTCCCCGCAGTTACAATAGTAAAAAGTTTAAACCACACTATCTTTGATTATGCCTTTTGTGGTCATGATGATACAACTAAGAAGAAACCTTAACTCAATTTGATTTTTTGGCTTGGTGCCTCAAACATTCAAAATTTTAGGCTGAACTCAGCTTGGCTTTAAATTATAGCCGCCCAGACACCTCTACTTTTTGTGAAAGAATATATCCTGCTGAAGTTAGCTTAATTTATAAGACTTATATAGTTTTCATTTTCTTGGTAAAAAATGCAATAGCTTGAGGGTGTATCCAACCACTGGGCCTTGGTAGGCCTACCATCACAAAGAGAATTTTCATTGGGGGTTGGCGTGATTTGTACCAGGAGTTTCAAGACAGAATGGTTTTAGCTTCTAACTACTGCACCAGTCTTACTCCAGTGCTGTACAATGTTTTAAAGTGCCTGCAACATTTTTTAATCCCTTTTCTGAAAAGTTTACATTAAAATAATAAAATAATTGTATCAATCAAAACTTAAAACCTCTACGTAATAAAACAGCTCACAAATATTTTAGATAACTTAGAAAAATAATGAAGTTTGCTTTAAATTTCAAATGTATATTTAACTTCCTGTAGATTGTCCCATAATAACAAAAAGCCATGTACAGGCTAAACACTTAATTTAAACATTATATTTGAAACACAAGTGTTAGAAGCATTCTTCATCGAGACCAAAATCTAAGCTAACGAATATAACAAGCATAAGTTTTCAACTAGAGTTATGAACCTAAAACACCCAATGATATGAGCTGTAAAATATACAATAGTTAATTGTTGAGTATGTCGGATAATGACTTTAAGTTTATCTTTAAATGATTTTTTATTCTGTTCAAAATAATTATACATTTAAAACACAATGTGTAAAGTACTTTTTGTAATGTTAGTATGATCCGCTACATGAAGTTAACATATGTTTTCTTGTGAAAATATGAGATGACCCCAAAGCAGAATGTTTAATTTAAACTTTCAAAAACTTTCTTTGAACTCTACTTTTATTTCAAGATTTTTGAAACCAATTTTCTGAAAATTGATATAGTAATTGAAAACTGCAAATGAAAATACGAAAGCTCTAAATAGGCCTTCATAATATGAAATATGTTTTGTTTATGGAATACACTTGATTATAATCACTGAAGTAAAATTTTATTTTCACCTTGGGTAGGTTTTAATTTTGTAACACTATCTGATAACCACGCTTGTAACTAAAAACAATACAGTAACTTAATAATTACAAACACTGCTTCTGCTTTGGGGATGAAGAGTAAATATACTGAACAAACTCCAAGCATTATTCCAGTTTTGCTGTGTCCGCTTACAGAACGGGGAAAACGGGGATGGTGGGGTAATTCGTGAAACGTATTACTTGAGTCAACCTGAAAGATAAAGCAACACTAAGATAGGCCTATAATGTGAATACCAACTGAACTACGGGGGACATCATTTAGAGATACTAACTGGTCCATTTGAATACTACACAATTTAGTTTGTGACTAAATTATTGCTTCTCATATCGAAACACTTTTTCCATTGTCTGTGATTTCTATCGATCCTATCCTTCAATATCAAAACAATCAACCAAAAAGTTTCAATTTATGATCCAAGGTTTTAGCAATTAAATATTTTAAATTATTAACTATTTTGATATTTTGATCGATAAAACAACAGACGGAGAAGCGTAGCCAGTTAAGAATTTTAAAGATTTTAAACAATAATAATATCTTAGTGATCTTATCGGAATAATATCTTAGTGACAAATAAAGAATGGTCTGTTTTCAACACCCACTAATATGGTACAGTTGAAATTGGAAATTCAAGTTGTTGTAATGGAACGATTCTTTAGAAACAGTTAATTTTCCAGAGGGCACATCCCAGAGGTAATATTGAGGGTCGTTTTATTTCCCCAATAAAAAGAAAAAGTATTTCTGTTTAAGACCGGGGGACGAGCAATTGAGTCCAGTCATCAATTTTTCAGTGTGAGAACACTCACAATTATCTGAAAACCAACTGGCATCGGAGATGTTAATGATTTCTATAAATTGCAGGCCTAATGAGCATTAATAAACAGTGAGCTACACACAGGCCGTTAGATAAAACTAATGTCTATCACCTGCGCCCACTAAGAAGATGTTCAAAACAAACCATTCTTTAGCACCATCGTAATGCACCTTTTTAAATCCATATTTAAGAAACAGCTATTTAAGAAAAGGGTATGTCTGTATGAAACTGACCTGAGCGTTTTTGCCATGAGTCTCGACATAGGCTAGAGGTATGATCCTGTTCTTGTACAGCCGCAATACCTCATCATCAGTGACGGGACTCAGTCCACGGTACACAGTGCCCAGCTGGATCTGCAGAAACGAGTCAATCTTCATCAGCAATCCTTTCTCTATGTCGTAGTGGAGACCTCGGATAGCAAATCCCGGCTTGTATTCCAACTCCATGATGCCTCTTGGATACTATGAAAAAGAAGTCAAAATGATTATTCAGAATTCAATCATTGTATGGTTACCAGAGTTTCACAGTCCAATCGGTGAGAAATATTACGACTACATTGCAGCATTGTTGCTTGTGTCGCCTCTAAAATTGATCACCAGGCCTATAATTAATACTTTAGGCCTATATTTTTAGAAGTACCGGTACCTAACTTACTTCATAATACCGGTAGGTCACCCAATACAAAATTATGACTACTGTAGGGTATTTATTGTTGTAATGACCTGGCCTATTCAGGGATTCCTATTTTTTTACCTTCATTAGGCCTATAGCAAGTCATACAAATCGAAAACATTTTAATACCAAAGCAAAACTTGAAAACCAAAACATACCTTGTACTTGGATATGAGAGTTTCTCGAGCCAAATTGTACAGCAGGAAGTCCATTGATGGCTTGTACACAGCAAGAGTGTAGTCATAATCAAAACCATAAACATTAACTTCTTCGAGGTCCAACTCATTGCAGGCAAACACTCCCCTTGGATTCACATTTGGTGGCAATTTCTTGGCTAGAAATAAATTTTGAATATGGACAAAGAAAGGAGGATGAAATTTAGGCTCAGAATTAAGTCATTGGGTTCCTACAAGAAATAGTTTTTGTAGGCCCTAATTGCAGCTATAGATTATTATGCATCTGTTAATCTTTAATTGAAACTTTAAAAAGTACTGGATGCCTATAGAACTTATATAAAGGGGTCGTACTAGCCTGTATGTTAGTGTTTTACCCCTCAATGTGAGAGTTATGGGTACGTAGGCTAACTGAAAACACCTTTGTACCGGTACCAAGTTTTAAGGTGTTTGGACAACTTTCCTTCTAAGACCGGCTGCTTCTTTCGCCAAAACAATTAGGGCTTATTAAGAACCTAATGATTTAGGAAAGCCCAATTAGGAAGGATCAACACTTGACTGTCAGGCGAGTGGTGTGTGATAAACTCAGCTGTGATAAATGTGAATCAATGGAAAGATATGTTGTTTTCAGTTTCTGTATTTATTTTTTTATGAGGCCTAACTTAGTTTAGGATTTTTAATAAACAGTTGATTCTGAGGGTACCTACACTTCCATATCAGTTGTCAAAAACAACAAAATGAAAAAAAATATTCGATATATCGATTATTTCATTTGATACCTAAGTTATATCGTTTGGTTAGTTAGGTGGTCAACCTAACTAACTAAACGATATATCGAATGAAATGATCAATATTTTTATTTGGTTGTTTTTGACAACAGATAGGCCTACAGAAGTCTACCCGATTCTAATCCATCAATTTGTAATCGACTTATTCGAGCAGTGGTAAATATTTACAAAACCCAACTCACCCTAGAGCCACCTAGCCTATGTCATTTTCAATTTTTGGTTTTTTATAAGACCTAGGATAGTTTAGCTAGCAAAACAGTTGATTCTTGAACGTCATCAATTCGTAGACCTAATTTTAGCAGTTAACATGAAAACAACAGACCCTAAGATTTTGACTATGCACACTGTAACACTTCAATCTGAGTTATATTTCAAATAGGCCTAGGCCTATCCTTAGCATAGGAATGAAATGATATTATTTATAATGCGATCAATGTTGTGTGGTAGTTTGCTGGTTTGTTAAGGAATACAATTAAAAAATGTGTTATAGAGTTAAAAAACCTCAGAAGAGGTAACATTTTAAAAGACAAAATAATTTTAGACCTCTTGAAAGAGGTAACTTACTGAATACCCTTGAAGACCTATTGTACTGTACTTACATTCATACTTTTGTTTCGTTTTTAAATACGCGTCAATAGGGTCACCTTTTGGGGCTTCCATGTGAATTTTTCGGAAACATTTTATTTGAATATTGGAAGAACATTGTAAAACTAATGGTAAATGATGTTTGCATGTTGCTTGAGAAAAATAACATAACCTTGAGATACTCTGGCAGTTCATCGCTCACTAGCAGACGGTTCTAAATCAACACGATCACCATCAACTTCTGCTCGAAACATATGATCCAGGAAGGCAAACGTCATAACACAAAATAGCTGATAGTTGTAAGTAAAATAAAATAACGTACTATATAAATTAACTATTAGTTTTGAGCCTTTATGAAACTAGTCCAAATAAGCACTCCAATTAAATAAAAAAGGTAAAAATAAAACGATGAGTATGACAAATTGCTTACAAACTACTATCAATGATCAAATTATTTAACCACAAAAATGATGATGGAGCGACTAACGTCTTAATCCAGAATAAATTATAACTGTTTCATTTCACAATACTCATGAAATTTTGTGTTTTAAAAAGAAGACAAATGCAAATGTATTCTAAAATTCTTTTTCACCATTTCACCTCTACTAAAAGCTCAGACGATCTCCTCCACAGTCACAGTAATAATATAACCTCATCCAGTTCGGGGAAACATATTAATTAACATTTTCGTCATGCTGCAGCAAAAATAGTGGTTTTTAATACATGTGTTGGGGGTCTAAAGTAGCATGTTTACTCCCTATGGAGGAAAAAGCATTTTTAGTACCTCCTAGGGAGTAAAAGCTATAGCTGTTGTAAACAGCAGTTGTAAATTTCTATTGTAAACAATCGCATGGCTCGAAATTGTTTTATTAATTTTTGGTTAGGTTTTGTTTTAGCATGGATAAAACTGGATAAAACATACCGGTTAGTCTATGGTTTTAGCTTATTATTGTTGCATTCTGGTCATTAGTTCATCATATCGAAGGTATAATGTACAGTACACCAACACCATGGTCATGGTAATAGACAAACACGATTGAATCACTTACTAAACAACTACTTATTTACATTAGCAGAATAGAAAACAAGCTGGAAGTCGTTCTGGAGAGGTTATCTATACATGAAAAGTATGTCCCTTTTCTAGCTTAGTTTGCTAATTAATTATGCAATATGATCACGGTCACTCTCACTCCTTACCCATTAAAAGGTTTTTTGACAAGCTACTGGAAGACATTTATTGTCAGTTTGCTAATATTACCGTTTATCATTGTTCATTTCTTTAGGAATACTCTGCATTATAAATTAATAACTTTACAAGTAATAGTCCCTCAAACGACACACGGGCAAGTGTCTTTTCAACAATCACTATCATTTTCCGACCGATCGTTTAACTTGAGCTCTGGCGAAAAGAGTTACTTACAACCTGAAATCATTGGCGTCACGTAAGGGGGGGGGGGCACCCCAATAATTTTTTAATAGCTTAAAAGTTGAACATTTTTGGGTATTTGAAGGTATGTTGAGTTGGGATTTTGGGATGAAACTGTCATTAAACTGTCGAGACAAAAAATTGTCTATCAGCGTTTGTTATACTGTGTTTATCTCTTGTTAGCAGGACCTTGTCTACTGTTTTTTATATTTTAAATGTCCATCAACATTTGTTGCAATTGTTAATTTTTATAAATTTTTATCTTAATATCTGTATTTTGTTGTTGGTTCATATAATTTATTCTTTGTTAAATTTTCATATTTATTTACAAAATGTATTTATTGTTAAATCACACTCCATACTGTTGGTAATCCACAGAGCTGACACAAAAAAAAAAAAATTAACATATTGGACATGTTAGTTGTAATGTCTAGCCTGACTGTAGCCATGCTATATACACATGACAATTGTCAATGCATTTTTGTAATGTCCAATGACAAATAAATATTTCTGATTTCTGATTTCTGACAAAAGGTTTATTTTCAAACTAAGCAGACATATACCCTTATAATAGTTAAAGTAAACAAAAAATAATAGAAAAATCTGTTCGAAATTTCATATTATGTTGGGTAACTATGGTACGTTACGTAACGTATCTTTAGTACTGTAATACACTATAATTGACGGCTTTTTAGGGAATTTTATTTTTATTTACGCGTGGAGAGTCGTAAGTGTTTTTAAAACTGATTTTTGAGCCTGTAAACTTGTATCAGTAGGACTATAGTGTACAAATTTGTTGAAACACTTTAGACACAATCAAAATTTAGGATTGACAGTCAACTTAATAATGTGAGAGACACCCCTTTATTTCTTGTTATTTGTGTCAAAGAGGCTTTAAAGGTAAATTAGCCATCTTACTGTAAAAAAACTGAATATTAATTAATTGGGAAATCTGAGAAATTTATTTGGAAAATCCGTGAAATATAGTTGGGAAATTCATACAATATAGTAGGGAAATGCAAAGCGTCTCCTCTACAAGATTTTTTTTTCTTGTGACGTCCCTGTACTATTAATATGTTTTATGTCATAAAGGAATATTTGATTTGATTTTTGGTTCTTATAAAAGAACGATTTTAAAGTGGAATAGATCTTAATAAACAATATTTTTGACATCCTGGTATAGGTCTAGTACTGTATTTATTTGACTTAATTAATCAAATCATTGGTTTTACCTTGTAGTAGGGCACCGTATTTCACTTTCTTAGGTAGATTGAATTTGAATTTTTGTAAAAAGCTTTAAGGCCGAGGTTTTAGATGTTTAGAAAAATCATAAACAAGTTTTATACACAAGAATGGTGGGGTTCAACTTGGGGTTTTATTGCTTTATCTGTCATTTTTACTGACTTAGACTTCAATCTATTTAATTGGATGGTACGGATCAACTTTTCCAAGACTTTCCCAGCAGTGTCCAACATACAGAGAGGTCTGTAAGAGGAGGGTAGGTCTGGGTTTCCTTTTCCCTTCCCCACGAGCACAAGCCTAGCTGTTTTCCAGCAGAAGGGAAACTTCCCCTCGGCCAGACAGGCATTGTACGTGCTCAAAAGTATTTGTGGGTTTATTGAAAAGACTTTCTTCAGGGCCTCACCAGGTACCCCATCCGGTCCAGGAGCCTTGTTGTTCTTCAGGGACAGAACGGCCGCCTCCAACTCCTCGAGACTGAAAAGCGGTACGTCGTCCACCCTTCCGAACTCCCGCAATGGGCGCAGTGTGTGAGTCGGGAAAAGGGACTTTACGATCCTTTCCATAGAGGCCCCGTCCATAACGGAAGGTGGAGAGCGGGTGCCAAGCTTCTTGGTTACTATCTTGTAACCAAGGCCCCACGGATCGGAATCGACATCGTCCCTTAATTTCTCCCAGCAACTGCGTTTGCTCCGGTTAATGGCCCGGCGAAGAGACTTCCTAGCCACCTTGTAAGCGTCAGACTTAAGACGTCTATCTTCAGGTTCTCTGGCCCTGGTAGCAAGACGTCTGGCTCTCAATGCTGCCCGTCGTAGTTCTGCGATCTCGGTTGTCCACCAGTACACAGGTCGCTTATCGCACCGGGATCTCCTGCGAGGCATTGACTCTTCGCAGGCCGAGACTATCAGCCTCATCAATGATGTAACTGATGTCTCTGCGTGAGCCACGCCAGATGCAGCAGGTACCACTGGCTCTCCCCGTAGTATGACTTCGGTGAATTTGGCCACGTCCAGCTTTTTGGTGTTCCACCGAACGGGCACCTGCCGAGACACGGTAGCTTGTCTCTGATGACTATCCATGACATCAAAAATGATGTACTGGTGGTCACTGGCCGTATAATCCTCTAGGACTCTCCAGGCTCGTATCCTCGGCAAGTGGGACTCAGATGCAAGCGTGATGTCTGGGATCGTTCCCCTCATTCCGGGACGCTGGAAAGTTGGCGTGTTGCCCTCGTTTATGACAACAAGTCCAGCCCTGGCAGCAAAGTCCAGGATGTACTTCCCCCGGGAATTAGTGAGAGTCATTCCCCACTCGACAGCCCTAGCATTGAAATCCCCCGCCACGACAACGTGCCCGGCGGTATCGCGCACGCTCTCTTCCAGGCGGTCTATCTTTCCACGAAAGTCACGGATAGCCTCGTTGGGGGTGAGGTATACACTAAAGTAAGTGACATCCCCGCACCGGACCCAAACGAATCCTCGGCCCTTCGCGTGACTCCTTACCTGCACTTTAGCTGTATTACGAACCCAGAACGCAGCAGTACCAAGTGTATCGGGAAACCAAAGAGATGGGTCCCTGTCCCGGTACTGGTACTGTTCGCTGACCAAGAGCGCGTCAACACCGTGTTCGAGGGCAAGCTGACTGAGAAGCGCGTCAGCCGTCCTGGATCGATCTACATTGCACTGGAGGATCCTTATCTTCGTGGTTGGGCTTTCGCTTGTTGTAGTGCGCCTTTAAATGCACTGCACTGCCCAGACCCAGCTATATGTTTAGCGTTTTTATCATTGAGGCCTTTCTCCTTACAGAGGAAAAAGGTCTCAACTTTACAGTCCCTACGAGTGTGACCCACCTCCCCGCATCGAAGGCAGTTCTTGCCTCGGTCGGGCCCTTCGCAGTTTCGGGAGGAATGGCCGAAATCAAGGCATTTAAAACACCTCGTTACTTCCACCCTCCGTCTCAACCTGCAATTAACCCATCCAACCCTCAAATGCTGGAGTGCCAAAACCTTACTGGCGTTTGCGTCTGCCATTTCGGCGACCGCCATCCGCTGTTGACTCCGGTTTGGTTTCGTGAGCCACACCCTCAGACTAGCCGTTTGTCCGGCAAGCACGGGGACAGCTTTTTTTAGGGCATCAATGACGTCATCCTCCGTTGACACACAATCCATATCCCGAACCTCGACGGACGTCTTAGGTTCGAGAGCACGAACGGTGCCCTGACCTTCCACAGCTGCCTTTAGTTCGGCAGCAAAGGCGGCTTTATCTTTAGACTTACCCAGTTCGAGGAGGACGTCCCCGTCCCGGGTTTGTCTAATCGACCGTACAACCGTGTCGGTTTGCTCTGGCTTAGCCTTGGCCTTGATAACACCCAAGACTTCGGCGAATGATCTTCCCTCCAAAGGCTTGACCAAAATTGCCTCAGTCCTGGGCTTTTTGGGCCGCGACTTTTTAGCGAGTGCCGAGCCAAGGCTGGGCCGACTTCCGCGTGCCTCAATTTCCTCTTCTCCTTTTTCGTAAGGCGCTTTT